AGAGAGAATCTTAAGCAGTCTCCACCATCAACAGTCAGCATGGAGCCCAATGCGGGGCTGGATTCCACAACTCTGGGATCATGACCTGAACTGAGATCAAGAGTTGGACACTTAACCGACTGAGTCATCCAGGCGCTGCTATTTTTGTTTTCAGTAACCATGCTAATAGGTGTGATGTGTGAGGTCACTGTGGTTTGATTCGCATTTCACTAATGTTTAGTGATGGTTGGCATTTTTTCATGTGTTTATTGGCCATTTGTACATTGTCTTTGAGGAAATGTCTGTTTAGGTCCTTTGCTCATTTTATAATTAGGTTGTTTTATTCTCGTTATTGATTTATAGGAGCTCTTATCTTATTCTTGATCTAAATTCTTTATCAGATATGTGATTTGCAAATCTTGTCTCTCATTCTGTGGGTTGCCTTTTCATTCTGTCGATACTTCCTTTCATGAATGAAAGTTTAATTTTGATAAAGTGCAATTTATCTATTTTTCTTGTTGTTGCTTAAGGTTTTGGTGTTATTGCCAAGAAATCATTGGTAAACTCAGTGTTATGAAACATTTCCCTTATGTTTTCTTCTAAGGGTTTATAATTTTAGCTTTTACATGTAGGTTTTTGATCCTTTTTATGTTAATATATGGACTAGGTAAGAGTCCAACTTCATTTTTTTGCATGTGATCTCGACACTCTTGTTGAAAATTCTTCTGACCATTTTACGTGAGGGTTTATTTCTGGGCTGTCTTTCATCTGTCTATAGGTTTGCCTTTGTATCAGTACCACACTGTTTGATTACTGTAGCTTTGTAGTAAGTTTGAAATCAGTAAATGTGAGAACTTCAGTTTTGTTCTTTTTCAAGATTGTTTTGGCTATTTGGGGTTCCTTGAAATTCCATATGAATTTTAGGATGGGCTTTTCTATTTCTGTAAAAAACACAACGAGGATCTTGATACAGATTATATTAAATCTTTAGACTGGTTTTGGTAGTATTGACATCTTCACTATGTGAAGTCTTCCGACCCATTTATTTATGTCTTCTTACATTTTGTAGTTTTGTTTTTAATTTTTATTTTCTTCTTTTTTTTTTTTAATTTTTTTTCAACGTTTTTTATTTATTTTTGGGACAGAGAGAGACAGAGCATGAACGGGGGAGGGGCAGAGAGAGAGGGAGACACAGAATCGGAAACAGGCTCCAGGCTCCGAGCCATCAGCCCAGAGCCTGATGCGGGGCTCGAACTCACGGACCGCGAGATCGTGACCTGGCTGAAGTCGGACGCTTAACCGACTGCGCCACCCAGGCGCCCCTGTTTTTAATTTTTAAAAAAGGTTTTATTTTTTTAAGTACTGTCTACACCCAACACCGGGCTCAAACTTATAACCCTATGACCAAGAGTTGCATATTCTACCGACTGAGCCATGCAGCTACCCCTCTTTGTGTAGTGTTTAGTATACAGTATTTTATTTCCTTGGTTAAGTTTACTCCTAAGTACCTTACTCTTTTTGTTGATACTTTAAATAGAATGATTTTCTTTTCAGATTGTTTATTGTTAGTATATAGAAATGTGACTGATTTTTACATATTATTTTTGTATCTTGCAACTTTGCCAAATTCATTTATCAGTTTTGACTTATTTTGTTGTGGAATCTTTAGTTTTTTCCCGTATATTCTAGAAAGTTTTGTTTTGTTTTGTTGCTGCCAGAGGAAGCAGCTTTTATTCATGCATTATCTCCAGAAACCAAAAGGACTATCAGCACCTCCTATTCTTCCTGGAGAAGGGAAGAGAGAGATATTACCTTTTGGTTTCCCCAAGCCCTGGTCTTTCCCCTCTTTGGGTAGCCTTAGAAATTCAGTAGCAATACTGTTGCTTATTTTTTTCAACATTGCCTGATGCAGCTACTTAGTAACACTTATTGGTGAAGGAGGATGAGGGGAAGCAGTTGGATGAGTAAGAGTAATGCACAAAAAACAGGAACACAGCCTATTAAAGGTCCCTCTGTCCTGCCTCCGTGGCTTGATCCTTTATTGGTTGCATTTTTCTTTATGCTGATTCACACTTTTCTGAATCAGATTGGGGATTTCCACCATCAGCCATGGAGCCAGCCCCAGAGCTCTGAGATGAGCTAGTCTAAACTTGAGCACATTCCTGGTCCACAAAGGCTTAAAGTGATCGATCAGGCATATTTTGCCACCCCTGTACATCTCTGCTGTTTTTCTATCAAATTCAAGGACTATAATTTCTGGAGTGGCAGTGGCATATGTGATAGGAATGTCAGACTGGACGTCAGACTCATGGAGGTCATGGGTGTACCAGCATTTTCCAAAACACCGAGTCCCTTCCTTGTTGGACTCTAGTTGGAACCAATCATTGTCCAGATTCTTGTTGTTCTCTACATATCGGATAGGAGACTCCTATCCAGGGTCCAAAAACGTTTCTATTTCTAGTGTTTGGCACTAATGAAGCATATTTAATCTGATACTTTAAATAGAATTGTTTTCTTTTCAGATTGTTTATTGTTAGTATATAGAAATGCTATGCACCGAGCATGGGTTATAGAACTGTACTAAAAAAAGAACTCTTAAACCTTAAGATCATAATCCCTCCTTAAGAAAGCTTGTGATAGTACTGATAAGCAAGGCTTACACACATGACAGAGATAGAATACTTCCAACACTAACCACAATGATAAAGGGTGAGGGACTTAAGGTGAGGGGAGAGGGAGGTGTGAGCTCTTTGCTGCCAAGGCTCAGGCTGGAGCAAGATGTTGGAACATGGGAGGGGGTGCTTCAGACAAAGCTAAAGAATCTGTTATCTTGGATCACTGACTAGGATTCTTAATTTCTTAGCTGTGTGAAGTTATTTTAAATCTTTCATTTCTAGAACAAGCATTGTTTGTTTTTGTTTGTTTGTTTGTTTGTTTTTAAAGAAACTGGTTTTAGATATGTTTAAAAATTGACTGTACTGGGGCACCTGGGTGGCTCAGTCAGTTAAGCGTCTGACTCTTGATTTTGGCTCAGGTCATGATCTCATGATTTGTGAGTTCAAGCCCTGTGTTGGGCTCTGTGCAGACAGCACAGAGCCTACTTGGGATTCTCTCTCTCTCTCTCTCTCTCTCTCATTGCCCCTCCCTGCCTCCTTCTCTCTCTCTCAAAATAAATAACTAAACTTAAATTTTTTTTTTTTAGAGAATTGGCTGGACTTACTTTAAAAAATGGAGCTATTAAGCATGATTTGTTGTGCTTTTTAGATGAGCAACTTGCTACCTAAACTTCTTGTTCTTTGCAGAGCAGTAAACTATTTTCCTTTTCAGATATGAATGAACACAGCTCGAGAAGTCACAGTATCTTCCTGATCAATATTAAACAAGAGAATGTAGAGACCGAAAAAAAGCTCAGTGGGAAGCTGTATCTAGTTGATTTGGCCGGGAGCGAAAAGGTAATTGGTTCCTTATTTGTATTGTCTATAATTTTCCCTGTTATCTGCTTCAGTGTGGAGTGGTATACTTCTTACATCTTTTCTGTCCCCGGGTTTCAAAGAGCTTTTAAAGTTTCTGTTGTGCCAAGATGGTATGAAGTCTAACCTTCATTTTCCTGCCCTCTCATTTCTGGTCCTGAAGTCCCCCATTCACGTCACAGGAAGTGCTGTGAGTGCCAGTTCGGGCATGTGCTGAATAGGCCCCAGTGAGGAAGATAGGCAAGCCTCAGTGTGCACTTAGCCTGGCAAAGGCAGCCTTGCAAATGAGGAAGGGACATGACCTTCTGAGGAAAGGGAAGATCCCCATGTTGTGCCAGACTCAAATAGGCCGGAAACTGGTTTGCCGTTGGACTGTGGCAGTCCTGCCTTTGTAGGTTTGTTTGCTGATAGAAGATCTGGAACCTGGGGCTCTTCCTGCATTCCCTGCTTCTCTCTGCAATAGGTGTGGTCTGATGGGGCCTCACCTGGGCAGCCTCACTTCCTTGAGGCTCCAGTCACTTCCTGGAGCCAGGGTTTTGGCCCAAAGCCCTGCACCTCTGGTTTTATCAAGGCTTTCTTTTGGCCTCTGTCCCATGCTCTCCGAGGCACTGGCTGAGGCCATGCTCTAGACCAGATAGGCTCCATAGAGCCTCCTACCTGCCCCTGCCTGGCCTCCCGCCTGTCTCGCCCAGCCTCACTTCCATAGCATTACCAGAGGCTCCTGCTGCCACACCCTGGCTGGGGCACTGCTCCCCTTGGGTGACATCACAGAGCCAGTCCCTGTGCACAATACCATGCGCACTCCATCACTGATGATCTCATGCTGACTGTCCCCATCAGGGCCAGCCCTAAAGCTTGGTCCATCTCCTGAACTGCCTAGTTGATTCCCAATTGCTGCACCCCACCAGTGAGCTGCTATCTGCCAAGCTATGGCCACTAATGTCCATGTAAGTAATGGCTACATGAAATGTTCTCCTGTGTGCATGTGTAAAGCTGTGAGTGGAATGTCATCTGGATGTTCCTGGAAAACTTTCTGGTTGGGAACCCAAAATTTTACTGGTACGGGCTTGTAACTTTAATTAAACAGACACGCACCAGAATGGGAATACAGAGCAGCATCGCTCAGTTCTAGACTAACCGTTAGCAACCAGACCATGCTTTGCTGGTCTGGAGAGAGAGCCCATTGGCCCCTTTGCTCTTCCCTCTTTCCCTCCAGAGCACAGAGGTGAGTGTCCGGGACCTAACTGCAGCTGGAAAAGCCTAATGGCAGTTCAGTGTGGAGGCCTGTCCCCTGCAGTGTCAGATACTGGTGGGATATTTTAAAGTCATGGTCCTGCACATTGTTTCTTTTGCTCACATCGGTTTTCCTTTGCCCCAGAAGTGTCCACATGAATGTGTCAGTGTGATCTACTAGAATGAACTCTGGGCTGTAAGCCCCAACTCCCCTAAATATGTTCTTCCCTTGGGCTGGCAATTTGACATCTCTGGAGTGCAAATCTTCCTTGTCTGTAACAGGAAGGCAATTGCACCTGCCTTGCGCATTTCATGGAGTGAAGGTGCTCACATATGAAAGCACCTTAAACAACACGGTGTGAATGGGCTGTTATTACTTGTGACCCATCAGCTGCATTATTTCTGTGTCAGCAGTGGTATCTACACACACAGTTCTCAGAGATGAACGTCTGTTGTATTTGAAAACACCTCCCCCTAGACGTGCACTCATTCCTATCATTAGGAGTTTCTCCTTTATTTGTAATTGAAATCAGTCTTCGTGCCGTGTAAAATCGTTTCCCTGCTTTCCTTTCTTCAGAGAGCAGCTGCCCATCCCACATCGTTTGTCCAGTCAGCAGAGCCACGGATCACGTTGTGTTCCCTGTTTCCCTAGCATCTGTACACTGCTCTCTACCTAGAGCAGATGCTGTCAGGATGAGATTGTCAGTAATAACACAGCAGAGGAGGAGCTGCGAGTGGTCCCTCTGGCTGCAGAGGGGAAAAGACAATTCCACAACGTAATAGACATTTTCTTGACTTTGATGCCCCCAGGTAGCTTTCCTTTTGGATGATTGTTCCCTTTTTCCTTGCTATGAGAGTAAGCAAGGGAGGGAACAGAGTCTGGACAACTCTTGCCACCTCTTATCCCTTGCCTGAAGTTGGAGCTCATAATTTACACTTCCCCAATATGTCCATTCCTCATGGCCAGGGTGTTTTTGCTTCAGGTGTTGCCCTGGGCTCCCTCTGGCATGGAGACTGTGGCTCAGGCTTGCAGGGCCTTGGTCCTGTGACAGCACAGGGAGCCTGGTTCCCCTGGATGGATGTCCCCCTGGGATGCATCCAGCTCCACCCCTTGAGGCGCATCAGCCATTCTCCTAAAACCTAATTGAGAGGAAAATGATGAGAGAGAACAAATCCCTAGCCTCAGGCACAGGGAAGGTTTGATCAATGTGCTTCTTACTCACTTTTATTTTTTCTTGCATTCCAGGAGGATTCACATCCACCTCCCTCAACCCCCAGCCCTGTGCCCTCCTGCGAATTGGAATTTTCTACTCTGTGCTTTTGCTGTCCTGTGCAGCTCACTGCTTTCTCTTCTCTCTGGTAGGTCAGCAAGACTGGTGCCGAGGGAGCTGTTCTCGACGAAGCTAAAAATATCAATAAATCTTTGTCTGCTCTTGGAAACGTGATCTCTGCCTTGGCAGAAGGGACAGTAAGTGATCCTGTCCCCATCTATGAAATGAAATTATGAGAAGCCGCTTTTTGGGTCTGTGTATTCTCTTTGCCACATACCCCAGAGATTCGTTTATTTTTCTTTGGAAAAAGACAGAGGGAATCCTGGCTGTACACACCCTGCCTGCTGGGAGATCTAGTCCATTAAAATGTATGAATGGTGCTGCTAATTTCCTATTACCAGGTCTCAGAATGGGCACTCTAAACTTTGGCCGAATCCAAAGACCGGGCAACAAATTCTTATTTCACACATCTTCCTAAGCCCGGTGTCTCCAACACCAGCTTGCTTATGTTTTTTCTCTGAATGGACAATGGCTATGATAGCCAATACTTTTTCTTTTCCTAAATAGAAAACACACGTACCATATCGGGACAGCAAGATGACTCGAATTCTTCAGGACTCTCTGGGTGGGAACTGTAGAACCACCATCGTTATTTGCTGCTCTCCTTCTGTCTTCAATGAGGCTGAGACCAAGTCAACACTGATGTTTGGGCAAAGGTGGGTGTGGTCTCTCGTTTCCAGGCTCTGAGCTGGGTCTTGGGTGTAGGGAATGAGTGGTGAGGGCTAGTGTCAGCGAGGAAGTAGTGTGAGGGGGCGAGCAGCCTATTACTAAATGGCATCCAGCAGGTAAAGCCTGTAAACTTGAGGCGTCATTCATCGAGGCCAAAGAATAACTATGTGTTAAAATACTGGGCAGAAATATAGCCAGTCAGGGCTATGATACTTAAGAAAATGCTCAGACTTATTATAGATGCGATTGCTCATAATTCAATGGGGTGCTGCTTTTGTTCTGTATGGAACTAAGTCTTACAGGTTCACAGGATTTTAAGTGTGTACAGCTCAAGACTGATAACTACCTTTAACTCCAGTATTTGGGATCCACCGCGGAGTTAATAGAACCAGAAACTTGGATGACTGTAGAGTAGTTGCATCAATATAAAAGGGGGCTAAGGAAATCCTCATACTAACCCTGGGAGTAGGAAGGTGGCTGCTATCTTCCCTCCTTCAAAAATGTCCAAATAGAATCCCCGGATCTCTGAGAACTAACAGTTGGGCAGCAGGGCAGCATGCTAATCCCGAGACAACCTTCCCGTGTGTGAGTTAGGGCGTGCCCTCCTGCCCTTCCTGCCCAGCCCTCCCCACAGCCCAGGGCCCACCTCCTTCAGCCGTGGTCCCTCAGCATCAGTTCAGCATGTGGTTTCTTGTGCCCTTGTGCCCTTCCATCCTGAACAGCTGTGCGATCTTCAGACAAGTCACTAGTTCTCTTTGAGCTTTAGCTGCCTTATTTGTAAATGGATGCACAGAGCTCTCCCCCTAGCTTCCTCCCGGGAGTGTGATGTATGGTTATGCCTGAGACATAGATTAAGATGCCTGGAGAAAGGACAGATGGGGGTGGGCATTCTGCACGAAATTGTTACGACTTGTCTAAACTGCATTAAACCCCAGTCATTTCCTGATCCCACAACAGAACATAGAATTACGCAGTCATGGCACCTGTGGGATATCTAAATAAATAATAATTACATCAAAGTGTTGTAGAACTAATCTGTCTTTTATACTGGATTTGGGTCCTTTACTTCTCATATTACTCCCTTGATTATTCAAATGCTTAGGTCAGTGGATTGCAGTAGGATAGCGCCTACTTTTCTCAAGGGTCACGGGATACTTATAAACCAGTATAAGTGTGTGGGAAACAGGCTACCATGGTGATCATCCTGCCTGTCCTGTCTCTCCTGGTCTCTTCATCTTAAGCTTTAACATTTTTGTCTGAAGACGTGTTTGAGCAAACCAGCACCAAATGCTTTTATGGAGGAAATATCTCTTTAATAAAAGTTTCTCACTTGCAAAGCAAAAAATAATCTGAATCATTGCAAGCCAACGTTGTCCTAGGGCACAGGTATCTGTCTCAGGGTTGCTGTTGTGAGTGGGCATTTGCAGCTGTCTATAGGAAGAGTCTTGGTATAAGTCCAAACGATTATCCTTTCTTCTGATTTTCATGAGGCAATTGTCAGCATCGTCATTATTGCTGGCAGTTTTTTTAGGGCTCGGCATGTGCCAGGAGTGTCAAATCTGTGTGGCAGATCTATCAGGTGGGCCTGACCTCACCTGTGTACAAAGGATGACTTTGAGGCTTAGACTCAAAGCTGTTAGGTGCTGTGCCTGAGTCCACATAGCCACTAAATGACTGGATGACATAGGATGGGGACTGTAGTGTTTGACCCACAGCCTCTTTTTAAATTTTTTTTTAATGTTTATTTATTTTTGAGAGAGACAGAGACAGAGCACAAGTGGGGAAGGGCCAGAGAGAGAGGGAGACGCAGAATCTGAGCACGCTCCAGGCTCTGAGCTATCAGCTGATAGCTGGGGCTTGAACTCATAAACCATAAGATCATGACCTGAGCCGAAGCTGGACGTTAACTGACTGAGCCACCCAAACTCCCCTTGACCCACGGCCTCTTATATGCAGGCTGCTTGATCAGGAACCTCAATGAGCACAGGCTTCTGGGTCAGTAACTCCATTTTGAAGCCAAGTTCTGCTGCTGATACATTCCTCTCTCTTGTTTACTTCTCTCTGGGACTCTGTTTTCGTCTGTAGGGAGAAATGTTATAACGCCTTCCTCTGAGAATTGTTGGGAGGATTAATGAGTTGCTTCAGTTTTTACCTAGCAGAAGGGCGGCTGGCATGTAATAGGTGTTCAGTGATTGTAGGTTTTTGTTTTCCTCCAACTTCAAAGGTGTTCAGTCTGGGAAAGTCAAAAAAATGGATGGGGCTGCCCTGAATGAAATGGAATATATGGGACAGCTGGGGATAGAAGAGGCTAGACTGAATGAGGTAGAGTTAGAATTAAGTTTCTGGAATGAAAGACTAAAGAAATACTGATGCTAATTTGGGACTCCAGGAAATAAAAATAAAGTGTCAGTTATCTTTTCAACTGGAATAGGTTGGTCTGCCATCTTTTATGAGAGTCATATGGACACTGGGCTCCATGAGGGCAGGGACTGGGTTTATCATCAGCGTCAGTTGTCCCAACAAGCAGCCAGCACAACTAGTACACAATAGAGTGTCATTAAGTAAATGCTTATTGAATGAATGAACAGATGAATCAAATGCTTATTCTGTAGGATTCCTTAGAACATTAGGACAGGTGCTGAACTATGACACCGTTATGTCCTGAAGTTTGGTTAGATTTACATCTGGTTTGTTTCCCAGCCTATAATTAGAAAGGTGTGAGCTTTTGTTCCTCTCCCTCGATCCCTGAGTTAATGGATTCTTCAAGGACATCTAAGTTCTCTATGGGGCCAATACCTGCTTTATTGTTAAATATACGCATTGAACCCAATTACACAGCAGACACGAGTCTGAACATCGGATTAGACATGGTATCTGATAGCTAATGAGATTAAGCACTTTGAACTCAGAAAAGACTGCTGGGCACATCTCAAATTCAGTGTAACGAGCATTCATTATACTCCTGTTGCAGGGGTGGTCAAACCTTGGGGCTGTACAAGGTTCCTTCATTATTCCTATGTGGTTCTTTCAAGGACATGAAGAAACTCCATATTTGTTGCCAGACGATTTTATCGTATTGATGCCCTGAATAAAACAATAGTATGTCCTTTGAAGCAGTAGAAACATGATAGAGTCTACAAATGCCTGAGGGCAGCCTACCAAGTCAGCGCTCTTTAGGATTCTCGATTGGGTACTGGAATTAAAAGGGAAAAAAATGCACATTTTCTGTTTCTTGGTTTTGGTGGTGAATGCTGCCTCTTCTATTTGGTCAGGCCTGTGCCCGTTAGTCTCTGACTGTCCAGCATTGTGCTAGAAAAGAAGCAGAAGCCATTTTCTGGGTTCTCAGAGAGCTTTTAATCTATTTGAGAGGGAACACTTGAATTTCCAGGCAGCCCAGAGTCAAAAAGCTGGACTGTGGGAAAGCAGAATACTTCCGGCTTTTAAGGGAGAAAAGATACTCAAATTAGAGCACTTTCATTGATTTTTTTTCTTTCAGCTTCCAGCATTTTATTTTTTAGCCTTTAATTACTCTTCCAAAGAACTTTCATTGCACCATTCGAAAAGGATTGTTGTCAGTTTTAGAAGTATGAACTTGAATCACCCAATTATCTCGGAAGCCTATTTAACGTACCTTGATTTGGGGTAGTAAAGCCTCCAAGGGGCAGGCCAATCAGTTTGGAGAAAGCCTGAATCAGCACATCTTTGGCACTAAGACTTTTGATTGATGTAGCATGAATAATTCAAAGGCTTTATTCGTATGTTGAATGTGGAAGGAGAGTTGATAATTTAGGGAAAGTAATTTCTTCTTTTTATACTGTGTACTTTTTTTTTTTCAAATTGTGCCACCTCTTGCCCAGTTTCGTGACAGCTGCATTGGTCCTGAGTGCTGTACATGCTAAACTCATGTCACTAGAGCATGATAACAAATTATCTGCAAGGGTAAGAGTGGACACTTTGGTGAAGGGAGACCCTTGGCTATGCTGTTAACATAAAATGGAAAAAGACTCAGATCACTCCCAGTTGGCATGTCTGTTGCTAGAACACCAATAAGGCTGATTTTTGGAGGGAGGTATACTCTGGGTGACAGAAGTTTAACCAGATGCCAAATCCTTATCCAAATCACTAATTCCTCAGTGTTTCTCGGGAGACTGGAGCTTTTCAAAAGACACAAAATTTGGAGCTTTTAATTTTTCCTTCCCTATACCCCCCACTCAGGAGCAAGGTAATGGCCTCACCAGGAAATGGCAAGGTGCTTTGCATCTGTCATGTTTTCAGAAGAAGGTTAGGTGTTTCATGAGGGAACTAGGACTCTGAGCACAATAGAAGGTGTGATGATTTTATGTGTCAGCATGGCTAGGCTGTAGCCCTCAATTATTTAACCAAACACTAATCTAGGTGTTGCTATGAAGGTATTTTGTAGATGTGGTTAACATCTACCATCAGTTGACTTGAAGTAAAGCACATTACTATCCATAATATGGGTAGGCCTCATCAGTTGGAGGCCTTAAGAGCAAAAACTGAGGTTTCTCAAAGAAGAAATTCTGCCTCAAGACTGCACCATCAATCCTTCTCTGAGTTTCAACCCTGCCAGCCTGTCCAGGACTTTCCAGTCTCTGCAATCATGTAATAAATACAGAAATCTAAGGTATATCTTATACATATATACTATATATGTATACTATACCCATATGGAGATATATATATATATA